CTCATGCCGAGGCTGGACCCTGGCAATGCACGCACATGTGCCCAGTGTGGGTTTAAGCCACCGAGTCCAGGACTTGAACTGCGGTCGACTACATAGGAGTCCAGCGACATAGCCATTATGCCAACTGCTGGCCCCAGGCCTCCCCCTTTTTTTTTTTGAAGAGGTTTTTGCTATAGGGCACGTGCGTTCACCAGAAAGACAGAGAGAGACAGAGAGACAGAAAATGAGAAGTCACCCCCCCAAGGGGGATGGCCACGCTGCAATCCCTTCTCCTCCATTCTCCTCTTGGGATCTTGGGCACACACGCACAATGCCCAGTGTGAGGTTAAGCCACCAGGTCCAGGACTCGAACTGCAGTTGACTACATGGGAATCCAGTGACATAGCCATTATGCCAACTGCTGGTCCCGGGGGGGCCCTTTTTAAGAGTTGGTATGAGCTACTACCTTCTTGAACTGGTTGCTCTAGCAGTGACCTTATTCATTCTTTGGTTCCTCTTGGCACTTGACTCCGGCCTCTAGAGAGCACATATCCTCTGCTTCAAGCAGAGTAAGTTGCCACATTTGCCTGGATGACCTACTGAACTCCAGTTCGTCTACTTCTGCAGTCACTGCATTCTAGATAAATGCACTACATGAGGGACTGGGCTGGTGGATGTGGAGGCAGCAGCTCCCCTTGTTTCTGCCTGGACAGCTGTGATACTTGGCTTCCTGAGAGGAGAGAGGCGTCTGTCAACACCCTAGACACTTGAGAAGTGTCCCAACAGCTGATGACCTTATTTCCCTTCCCAAGACCCTTTCATATCTTGCTAGTCTTACCCAGTCAAGGCTGACACTCCCAGCCTGGCCGTGGGGCCTTGCGTGAAGGACCCTCACTTCTGTGTCTATTTCTGTTAGAAAAGCCCCAGCAGAGATGAGCCAGGATGCTATCGACCTATCCTACTATAGACACTCCAACACAAGTGTTTTAGCTTTCTTCCATTTCTCAACTGTGTAGGGATTTTTTTTTATGGAATATGTTTCCTTTCTCCTGAGAGTGTTTGAATGCAGATTAAGCTCTTCTTGATCAAGAATAAGGGGCAACCAGCTTTTCAGCACACATACCCGAAAGTCTTCAGATTTGAGCAGAGCTGCTCAAGGATCTGAACCACCCTGGGTTTAATAGATGATCAAGAGCAACTGTGAAAGCACGAAAGGAGAAGGGCTTTCTGTGAACCTGAGGAGAAGGGGATAGCTGGTGGTAACAAGATCTCTGGGTGTGGCCTCTAAGTCAGCTCTAGCTTTTAGAGGGCACTGGGTCAGAGTCCTTCAAATCCCAAGTCCATCTATCCTTTGCCCATGACTTGAGACTGGTGGCTTTGGACGCATGTGGTCTAGCTGCTGGAAAGAGAACCTGATCCATCTTTCTCACCCGCACTGCTGAATCTGTACAACTCTCTGACCAATGGACTTGATGTGAGTGAGAAATGCGTTCTACTTAAGGTACAGGTTCACCTACGGGAGATTTAGGTTGATCCACTTCAGCACTGGTTTTACCATATCTATGTATAAAATCCTTTTTGGTACAGCCCTTGGAGTGCTCATTCTTTGGTAACATTTCCCCAATATTGACTTCTTCCTGAACGTCCTCTGTACCTACTGGCCTATTCAGATTCTGGCTGTCCCAAGACAGGACACCTCTTCTTCTGTAGCCCTTTCTATGGAAGCTGCTATTTCTACCCCCTCCTCCCCAGTTCCAGAGGGGACATAGGCTTTTTCTGGGAGGCCATTGCCTCCTCTACTCTGTTGTCCTTTCTCCTGCAAACCTTTTCTCCTTGGAAATGTACACCAGCCCTTGTGCTCCTTCCTCCTTTACCACTGTTCTCGCCCAACTTGTCTGCCATTGCCCTGGGTTTAGCCAGCTGGCTCTCACCTTCCTCTCACCCCACTGGAGTGGTTAGTGTCACTCCAGAGACCTGTTTTCTGCCAGTAGCTGGGATCTCAGCCATGGTCGCATGTGTCCTAGGTACATTTGTTTTCCTGATCCCTGCAGTGGCTTTCCCAAATCATGCACCTTACCCCAGACCTCTTTCCCCACTGAGGGCCTTGCCTCCTATTTCACTGAGAAAGTAGAGAGGCACCCTGGCAGGAATCCCCTCAACTCATGTCCTACTCTGCACCTCACCTCCTTCTTGTTGGTCTCAAATAATGTCAATGTGCTCTGTGGCTCTGAGTGCTCTCGTTCCATCGCTAAGACCAGAGAGTAGTTGGAGGATGCCTCTGCTTCTTCCCAGTTTCAGCCTTTCTCCATAGCTGCTTCCAAAGCAATTTATAAATAGCCAGTTCTCTTTCCTTGAATAACAATAATGACAGCAAAATTCCTAGAAAGAGCCATCTGCGTTCATTTCCTCATTCCCCATTCATTTTTTTAAAAAGAATTTTTAACTTAATTTATTCATTTATTTTAATTTGTCTAAGAAGGACAGAGTGAGAGAGAGAGAGAGGGAGAGAGAGGGAAAGCGAGCAAGCAAGCCACCAGGTCTGGGACTCGAACCACGGTCAGCCATGTGGGAGTCCAGCGCCCTTAACCATCACACCACCTGCTGGCCCTCCCCATTCATTAACCTACCCACTGCAATCTGGGCTTTTTCTCCTGCCTCCTGAAATTGCTGTGGTGAAGGAGTTCACCACCTTCCTTATTTCCAAATCCAAAGGTCCCTTTTTGGTTGTATCTACTTTGTTCTCTAGCATCAGGCATGCTGACCTCGTCCTTTAGGGAAGGTCACTGCTATCCTAGTTAGTGGGTCCTTGGTCCTTCTGTCCCAACGCTAGTCTTAGTATGACCTAGAGTTTTCTCTTTGAACTCTCTCCTCCTCCTCTCCCCTTTCCTCCCCTTTATGTCATTCTTCTTGGGTCCTCTTCACTTTCACTCATAACCACTCCTAAGGGTTCCATGCAGGTTTCCCCCACCCTCCCCTCCCTCCCTTCCTTTCAAAAGAAAGAGAAAGACAACACCTCAGCAGAGTCTCAGGCTTTCAGTTGCCCCAGGTTTCCCAGCTAGCCAGGATTACGGCACACGTGTCCAGCATGCACAGGCAGACCTGGGAACCAACTCTGACCTTCCACTGGGCTCCAGCATCGCAGAGCAGTGCACTGGGCCTCACTTCTGCAGCTGGACCTTGTTTTTTTGTTTTTTGTTTTTTTTTAGAATTTACTTATTTATTTATACATACATACATGCATATATATTTCAGAGCGCCAGAGAGGAACAGCGAGAGCAACTGAGAGAGAGAGAGAGAAAATAAGAAAGCAAGCTGCCAGGTCTGAAACTTGAACCATGATTGGCTACGTGGGAGTCCAGCGCCCTTAGCCACCATGCCACCTGCCGGCTCCTGGACCTCAGTTTTTATATTGACTCTCAAATTGGGTCAGTAGTTCATCTCTCCTGATGGCTGAGTCACAATATCCAGGTTCCTGCTGGTGCTCACCACACGGTAAAAGTTCCAAGAGTGCATCAAGCTCAATGTGTGTATGATGGCGCTCATTCTCTGCCTACCTCAAACCTGCTCCTTCTGTATTCCCAGTGATATCACTGGGAACCTCCCGAGCCAGGACCTTGGAATCATCCTAGACGCCGTCCTTCATAGACCCCTGTATACAGTTAGTGACAAAGCCCATCCTCCTTTTATCTGTAACATTTCCCATATCACTCATCTTCTCAGTTCTGACTCATGCAAACCATTACAGAGCCCCACAGGGCTCTCCTAACCAGTGCTCTTGCTATTAGTCTTGCTGATCCCTTACTGGACCTACCTTGTCTTTCTTTTGTTTTTTAGAGAGGGCTTTTTTGCTATAGGACAAGTGCATTCACCAGAGAGACAGATAGAGATAGACAGAAATTGAGACACCCCTCCCCCCCGGGAAGATGGTCACACTACAATCCCTTCTTCTCCATTCTCCTCTTGGGATTCTGGGCATGCACGCACATGCTACCAGCGTGATTTTTAAGCTACTGAGTCCAGAACTTGAACTGCAGTCAACTACGTGAGAGTCCAGTGATGCAACGATTATGCCATCTGCTAATCCCCCTACCTCATCTCTCTAAAAAACAAAACTTTATGTCACTTCCCAAGCCTAACCCTCTCTCTTTTTCTTCAGAGAGAGCAAGAGAGGGAGGTTATTTTTGACAGTCTCAGCCTACCATGATCCTCTGCCCCAGTCTCCTACTAAACTAGGACTAGAGGTGGGCACTACCATACCTGGCCTGTTCAGGTTGATCTGGGATCCAAACCTGGGCCTCCCATGTGACTCCAGCAGCCACTCCCACTGTCTGCACTGTAAGGGCCCAGCTCAAATCCTTTAAAGGCTCCCTGTTGCCTGTGAGACAAAGCTCTGCAGCAAGGATTATGAAGTCTGCCCGCCTGCTCCTGTCCCTGCTTATCTTCTCTTTCTTCAAACTCCTGCCTTATTCTACACCTTGCTGTTTCCAAAGTCCCTGTGCTCTTTCATGCCTCTGTGCCTTTGTTCTCACCACTCTCTTTGCCTGGAATATCCTCTCCTTTCCTTCCTGGCTTGGTAACACCACTTAACTGTTGAGACACAGTTCAGGCAGAGCTTCCTCTAGAAAACCTTTTCTGATCACGTTCATGGAGTAAAGGACTCCTCCTGCCCTTGGGTCAATGTTACACTCAGGATAGGAGCCAGGGCGGGGGTGGGAAGAGTTTTATGGGGCACATGACCTACTCTGCTCTTGGTTCCCTGACCCCATACCCATTGTGCATCTGGGACCTCACCCAGAGCTTGGTACTTAGCTCACATAGTAAATCTCTTCTGTTGGTGGTGAATGGGAAGGTGGGTTTGAGGGAGGCCCTGGAAGGACTTGGATTTCCAACTACAGAAGGGTCTTGGCTGAGAATGGGCTGTGAGACTTTATTTACTCAGAGGAAAGTACCCTCTCCACCACCTCCTCAGTTGCTTCTTGGAGACTCCTCTCTGCTCCACGGTAGTCCCAGAAAGCAGGGCAGGCAGCAGTAGGCTCTTCCAAAGGCTGAGTGACTTCTATTGGGATATCCCTTCTTCCAGCTGCAGCTGAAGGAAAACACCTGCCAGAAAGAGCGAGCTGAGTGGCAAGAGCCAGGATGGCAGAAACGTGGAGGGATGCTCTGAGCACTTGGCTCCAAATGACCCATTGTCTAGATTCTGTCTTTGGTAGCTGGTAGGAAATTCACACACTAGTTTGAGTCCTCCTTGGGATCTCCCTTGCTTCATCAGTGTCTCCAGCAGGAGCCCAACACAGAGCTGGGCCTCAGCGTGGGGAGCACATCCTTTGCTTTCTTTCTCCTTTCATGTGTTCTGGGGCGGGTGAAGGTGGACGGGGCTGGTGAGGGCTTTCTTACCTGAGGACTTGGCGTAGACGGTCTGCTGGTCTCTGCTCTGGGCAATGCAGGATATGTAAAGCTTCTTGTCCTCAATCTTTTCCACGTCAACATTCAGTACAGCCAGAGAGCCCAAGGGGATCAAGCTGGGAGAGGAGGTGGCTCAGCCCAGCCTTCACATGAGCCCCGGGCCCCATTTCCTCACCCCTGTTCTCTCCTCATTTCACCCTGCCTCAGAGACTCATAAGTGGCCTTGGACTTGGGGCCCGTTAGTTGGCTTCCAAAGTTGGCTGGCAGAGGTTGCATTTTGCCAGGGATGAGAGGAACTTCTTGGGGCTGGACTGGGAAGGAGAGTGGCAGGCAGGGCTTCTGCACCCCAGCTATTGATGGGGATGGCCACCCCCCAGTGGTGAAAAGGGCCATGACCTTGGCCAATGCCCCAAGGATCCACTTCACTTACTTTTTGAACCTGATGTTGAGGCTTAATGTTAACAGCCCCTCTCCAGCCAGGTAGGCAGTTTTAGCAAAGGTCTCATCCATCATGGCTGCCAGGGACCCTCCGTGGGCAAACCTGGGAGTGAGGAGCAAGGTTAGGTCTGAGGTTGCTGGGTAGACACCCCCCTCTCTGGGCCTTCCTGTGATCCTATGGTGAAGCCACCCCACTGTTCTCCCCTTTCCCAGATTCCACAAACACAGATCTTCAGCCTCAAGATAGCTAAGCAAGAAAGAAAACAGCTACATGTCATTTGAGCTCTTCTCAGAGCTTCACTTTAGCAAATTATTATTATTATTTAGCAGTTATTTTATTTTACTAAGAAACAAATTGTTTTCTGATAGAAAACAGAAAAACATTTTTCTGACTCATCACCGAATTTCTGGCAGCATTGCCATAATTTGGAAGGGTGCTTGCCGGCAGGCTGCTTGCCTCTGAGCTCTAGCATGACCTTGGGGCCATCTCTCACCTTCATGATAGCCAGAGTTAAGCCTACAATTTCAAGACAGATCAAGATGAAAGTGCCAGTGTGACAAATTCCTGGGTGTGGCTGCCCGAGATCGCTTGGAACCCACCGAGGCGGGGTGTCGCAAGCATTGTCTGCATAAGATTTTTCTCTCTTGTGCAAGCTGACCTTGACGCCAAGGCTACTTTATTGTTGGTTGGGAGGTTTGGAGAAAACAGAAAGGCATCCAATTTTAGAGTGCAAATAGCACAAAATAGATTTGAATGCCTGATTTTCAAAAGTGCCTCCTGCCATTATGGGCTTCCCAGACACTTACCTCCTCCATCTTTTTGGTGGAGAGAGCTAGGGCCATGGAACCATACCTACCCAGTCTGACGCCTTGCTACCTGTTTGGACTTGAGCAAGTTGCTTAATCTTTTTGAGACATTAATTGAACAGATACTTGCAAATCTTCATGTACACTTCAAGGCTTTTCCCTCCCTACCTCCCACTTTGGTCACAAGAGAGAAAAAGGAATGGGTGTCACAGAACCTTAGACTTGATCTTCCCAACTTGTCCACATTGGCCAGACAAGGGACCCATTGGCAAGAGTTAGAGTCTGCAGAGCAGCTCTTAGATAACTAGCAACTCCTTCCCTCCCATTCTCCACTGCTGATTGACCTAGTGGATACTAATGTCATTTCTGGACACCCTTCCATCCCCTGAATGACCTCAGTGTTGTATGGGCCTCCTCTGCCTCTTTGGCCTTAACTCCATGAGCCCCTTTATAAAAGTCAGCCTTGCTTCAGTCTCACCCTGCCTTCTTGGGGGTTTTCCTCTTCAGAAGGGAGGGGATCCAGGGTCCAGGCAGGGCTCTGAGTCTTCCTTCAGTGTCTACATGCTCTAGTTTGGAGACTACTGTCCCTAAAGAGGGCACTATTGGGATGGCCAAGGCACTGAGGGCTGCAGTCTGTGACCACATCCTGAGGAGGTGGTGACATCTGTTTAGCCCTCTGGATTCTGTTTGACCCCAGTGGAGCCCCTCTCAGGCCTCAGAACTAAAGCCGCTCCTACCCTCTCCTGTCTCTCTCTCCCTTGCAGGAGCTCCAGCACCACCGATAGCTTTCAGGGGTTGGCTGGGGACAGGAAAGGGGATGGAGGAGAAGGCAGACAACCATGGACTTAATGGCCAGTGGCCTTAGGCAAGGGCCAAGATTAGCCTGACATGGCTTTTGTATTTATGTCTAGTGAGAGGTCCTCCCTGAGTCTAGTTTCATGAGCATGCATGCGTAGACCCATCATAGCCTCTCTCAGTCACCCTGGCAGCAGATACTAAGAAGGCTAAAAATCAGAGGTCGAATTGCTTGCATGGGGTTCCCAGGCCAGCTGCAGCAGACAAGGACTGGAAGTTGGGCTCTTGATTCCAGATTTTGCCCTCTTCCTAGTGCACTACGTTCTTTTCAAAGTGGTCACTCAGGCCCCTTCCTGTCCAAACATTTCTGAGACTTGTATAAGGAAGTTCTCCCTTCCTTATCTGCACAACGGAGACTGACCAGATGACCCAGCATGTTCTTCCAGGCCTGGCATTGTAAGGCTGAGGCCCAGTGCCCCACACCTCCTCCCTGGCTCCTTACAGAGGGATGGAGATGCCAGGGCTTGGTGGGTGCCAGCCCTGCCTGACTGATCCAAGCCCAGGAGGCTGCCGAGGATGTCTTCCCTGGTCCTGCCTATGGCCTTACCCTGGGGGCCCTTCCAGGTAAGGGCCTGGCTGGAAGAGACACACAGACTTCTTCATGGATGGGTGGAAAAAGATGACATATTCATAGCCTTGTCCTTCCACTTGGATGCACCTGGTGAAGATGCGGCAATCACTTTGGTCTGAGGAGAGAAGGGCAGTGTTGCAGCTGGAGAAGGGAGAGTGCAGGGGGCAGGGCGTGGGCCTGCTCAGGCTGCAACACCACAGTTTGAACCTTGCCTCCAGTTCAAGACCAAGAGGAGAGAAGTAGGTCTGCCTCTCTTCCTGCCTCTCAGGGAGCCTTTCGTCTGGGAGCAGAGGCACAGCTCCTGTCCTCAGAGAGCCTCAACACTTGGGGAGTTCCCTGGCTGAGGGTGAGATACAATCAGGGCCAGGTAAAGACTTTCACAGTCATGGGACCAGCAGTTGGCGTAATGGCTATGTTGCTGGACTCCCATGTAGTTGATCGCTGTTCAAGTCCCACACCTGGTGGCTCAAACTCATGGTGGGCACGTGTGCGTGCGTGCCGAAGATCCCGAGAGGAGAATGGAAGAGAAGGGATTGCGGTGTGGCCATCCCTCCTGGGGGCTAATTTCTTGCTTTCTGTCTCTCTGTCTTTGTCTTTCTGGCAAGCACACGTGCCCTATAGCAAAAACCTCTCTAAAAAACCCCAACTTTCATAGTCATTACCACTGAAAAATTTTAAATGTGATTATCCATGTAATTAGCATATAATTCAAAATAACAATACTAAACAGTAACGTAAGCACAGAAAAGTCCACTGAAGTTCCACTAAAGTTCTGATTATCCTTTAGCAATGATAACAACTATATCCTTTTTTGGAAACTGAAAAATAGATTTTTTTTGGGGGGGAGAGATTTTTGCTATAGGACGCGTGTGCTCGCCAGACAGACAGAGAGAGACATTAGAGACAGAAAGCGAGAAATCACCCCCCAGGGGGGATGGTCACACCGCAATCCCTTCTCCTCCATTCTCCTCTCAGGATCTTGGGCACACATGCACACGCGCCCGGCATGAGTTTTAAACCACCGGGTCTGGGACGTGAACTGCGGTCGACTACGTGGGAGTCCAGCGACATAGCCATTATGCTAACTACTGGTTCCCAAAAATAGATTATTTTAATGTCCCTGCTTTTTCGTGCCATAAACCCAAGGGTAGTCTACCCTTTGGATCCCCTATTCATCACTGAGACCAGAAAACACACACACACACACACACACACACACACACACACACACACAGATGACAGTGATAGCTGTAGCTATTGGACCCAGCGGGTGTCTCAGGAGTGCCGTGCTGGACCTGGCAGAACCGGGGATGTCCTGAGGCCTGTGGTGAGCAAGCTTTATGGGCTTGAGGAGGGCTTGGTGTGGGCTTGGCAGTAAAGGAGCAGGATAGTGAGAAGTCAGAAAAACAAGCACTGAGCTGGCAATTTGCCAGTGGGGATGCAAGTGCCCGGGAACCCCAGTGGCCCAAAAGGGTGTGCTTTCTTCAGATGTTCAGAAGGGGACCAGACACCTGCGTGGATATCTTCCCATCCACGTGCCTGGGCTGTGGAGTTAGAGAGCAGGAGGAACTTCCAGGCTGAGGACAGGAAAGGAGCTTGTGAACTTCTTTCTCGAGAGCCTTGGAACACTGGGAAAGTGTCCTGCCCACATGGGCTGGGCTGTGTGTACACATGAGCATGTGTGTGTATGTGTGTGTGTGGGTGTGTGCACCCATGCACATGCATGCTCAGGAGCTCGCTCAAGCCTGGCCTTACCGGAGGTCACTTCCAACCCCAATGGGAGCTTGAGCCCCTTTATGTGGTCTCTGTTGGAGTTGAAGGAGGGCAGTTTGACCCAGCCACCGGACTTGGTCTTCTCCAGAAATTCTTGGTACAGGCTCAGCATGTCAGGACACCAGCTGGCATTAGGAAGGGCATAATCCTTCAAGTCTGTCTTTTTCATACAAAATCTTGAGACCTGAGCAGGAAAATTCAGGGAGACCAGGTGGTATCCTAGAGGCTGAGGGCTGCTGATGGGGCCAGCGACCCTTTAGGTGAGCTAAAGGGTTCTTAGGCTCTTCAGTCCTGTCTATGAGAGCGTTAGCGTGGGAAAAGAGCCCATCTTCCTTGCAGAGGCCTGGGGACTCCTGGGGGTGGCTGGGAAGGGGACACTCCCGAGCCAAGGAAGGAGGGGAATGAGGAAAGGGCTATCAGAAGCATGCTACATTGCACTGATGCAATGAGTGTCTTCTGTTATGAAACCTGGGAGCATATCTTTGAGACTGAGAACTGCCAGGATTAGCCCCACTGACAGATAGGGAAGCTGAGGCAATATGGCTAAGGTGTCAAGCTTGTGAGTGCTAGAACTAGACTCTGTCTACCCTAGGGGTTGAGGCCATGGTTGCTGAGGGCCACGTATACAGCCCCCTCATCCCAGGGGCTACACCTGAACAGGGCAGCTTTTTGAAACATATCAGGCCCCTACAGAATTATGGTCCCACAGGTGGGGCAGGGACAGCATATCCACCTGCAGGGTAAGGGGGAGGCTGCTGTATTGTCAACTGCTCATACACCAATCACAGCTGTCAGCAGCAAGGAAGCTGCCTGCCAAGACCATAGACAGGGCCCTCTTTCCAATGGCATCCCAGCAGCAGTCTGCATCCCCCAGGAAAGAAGAAAATTCAGACCAGGATGCCAGTGTCATGGGGAATCTCAGTAGTCTGGAATATGGGCTATCTGGTATTTCAGAGCACCTTCCCTTTGCCAAATCAAACAGCTCCTGGGTCGGCTCCAGGGCACAGTATCAGAGACATCTTGCTCTGATGGCAATAATGTGCTACTCTACTCGAGAGAAGCTGGAATTCACATGGACCTGAGGTTCGAATTCCCTGTTCAGTCAGCCTGAAACACACCAGGCATGCACACAAGTGCCCAGGATCTGGTGGGCTGGAGGACTGGAGGGAGGGGACCACAGTGCGAGCAGACCCTGGGGAAGGTGCTCATCTCTCTTTTCCTCTGTCTCTCTCACTTGCTCATGTATGCCCACACACTCAAGCACAAATAAAAAAGAAAAAACTCCAGCTCCACAAAGCACTGTCTGCCTGCCCCCCACCATGAACTGGGCAGACAGATTTTGGGTGCTTTGTAGCCCTAGTCTCCTGGGAGAAGGGCTGCTAATCTTGCTGAACTGGGAACTCACTTACCATGGCGTCTGTGGAGGATCCGAAGGTCAAGGCAGGGCTGAGTCCGGGCAATATCTGGAGGGTCCCAAGGAGGGATCTGTGGTGGCTGAGTCTTGCTGCCACCTGGAAGCCTCTCCTTATCATGGCTTAGTGCTAGGATCCTGGCCCCCTGCAGGTAGGGGCTGGTTAGCTCCTGGGGAGGCAGCAAGGCAAGTGAATGCTTTATGGCTGTAGCTGGGAACTGCAGGTGTAGTGGCCGCCCACAGACTGCTCTACCCTCTGTCACAGGCTTTCTCTCAGCAGGTTGGTTTGGTACAACACCCACAGATGCTTGGGGCTTTTAGCTGGTGCCCGAGCCTCACCCAGCCAGCACCTGGGAGGGACAGATGCTGCTTGGGCATGAATGAACAGCAGGAGTGGCCTGATTTCAGAAAGAACTATTTGTTAAGTGAGTAAAAAGTACATAAATGGTTTCAGGGGTGGGGGGGGGGTGTCTTCAAAGAGTTCATGGAAAATATGTACTGCAGAAGAACTATGCATGGATTTCAATATTTTTTTGCATCAGAAGAAACTTGCACTTTAATTCCATTTTTCCACAAACTCTATTTTTAAAAAATTGCCAGAGGGCTCTTGAGTTTGGCAGAGAAACAGAGAGAGACAGGGAAAGGGAGGAAGCACCACTCATGGGGTGTGGCCGTGATGCGGTTCCTTCTCTGTGTCTTCATTCTGTTGGGATTTGGGGGATGCACTCACATGTGCCCCGTTTGCTTTTCAGGCCTCTTGGGTCAGATTTGAACCTCATGTCTGGCCATGTGGGATCCAGCTTTCTAACCCCTAGGCTACAGGACTGGGCCTCCACAAACTTTTTTGAAGTTTCTTTGTAGTTTGGGATATATGGAACCTTGGAGAACTGCTCTTGGGCTTCTGGGGGAGAACCTAAGAAAATTTCCAAAAAAAAAATAATTTCCAGAAAGGTAAGCAAGATGCGTCTCTTGATTGAAGGGCTTTAGGGGAGCATTTGTAGCATGTGCTCTGCAGCAGGACTAAGGCTGTTAGGATTCTGGGGTGCAGAAAATCAGCTCAAAGATCTTAGACACCCCCAATGTCCCAGTCAAGAGTTGGCATGAGGGGCCTCCACCTGCTATTCCTGGGTTGGGGAAAGGAGTTGGGGTAGGGGGAGAGGTTGAGGGGAAGGATAAAACATCATCCGGGAGGATGTAGCTTAGCATGTGAAAGCTCTTGCTTTGGGCACTGCAGGGAGGGGATGATGGCAACAGTGCTGGGAGTGAGGTGGGGGTGGGCAAACTGAGGCCTTGTAGCGGTGGACCTGGAAACACCCGGTGAGTAGAGCGGGAGCTGGAGGAGTGCTGTGCCAAGGTGTGCATGGCTGTGGACAGTTTTTGGTGTCATTTCTTCTGCTCCTCCTTCTCCTTCTTCTTTTTCACATTAACTGGAAGTTTATTTGTTTAAAATGTAAACATTATCAGTTTGAGAAGAAATCTATCATGATATGTAGGTTGATCTTGCCATTTAAGTTCTTTTTTAAAAAAATTATTTAATTTTATTTATTCATTCACTTATTTTTTAAAAAGTTTGACCAGCAAGAAACACACACACACACACACACACACACACACAAACACACGTACACACACAGAGAATGGGGCGGGGAAGCAAGCACCGGGTCCAGGACTCAAACCATGGTTGGCCATGTGGGAGTGTCCAGTGCCTTAACACCATGCCACCTTCTGGTCCCAGTCATTTAAGTTCTAAAGTGTTTGTTCATTTGTCCGTCCTTCCTTCCTTCCTTCCTTCCTTCCTTCCTTTCTCTCTCTCTCTCTTTCTTTCTTTTTTTATCTTTGTAGAATTTTATCCAAAAAAAGGAGGAGATACATGCGCACAGACATATATACATGTATGTTTTAACATACACATATTTTAGCATATATATACACACACATACATTGGGTCGTTGGAAAAGTTGTGACATATTTTTCTATGCTTCCCTTTTTTCTTGCTTTTTAGAGGTTCGTGCCATAGGGTGCATGCACTTGCTGGAGAGAGAGAGAGAGAATAAGAGACAGATACAGTGAGAGGGAAAGTGAAAAATCAACCCCCCCCCCCCAAGCCCCAAACAATGGCCTTGCTACAATTCCTTCTCCTCCATTCTCCTCCTGGGATCTTGGACATGCATGCATACATGCACAGTATGACTTTCAAGCCTCCAAGTCTGGAACTTGAACTGTGGTCAGCCATGTGAGAGTCTCATAAGCCCTATACCATGTCCTCGCTCTTTTCTTTCTTTCTTCTATAGAGAATGAAATGTGAAATCCAGAGTGATTTTAATTTGGTGGCCCCTGCTTGACTTTTTATTAGCTCTTCAAAGACTGTAGTAGGATAAAAGGACCAGTGGCTCTGGGTCTCTTTAAGATTAATAGGTGATGGGACCAGCAGTTAGCATAATGGCTATGTCGCTGGACTCCCATGTAGTCGATTGCAGTTTGAGTACTGGACCTGGTGGCTTAAACTCACGCCAGGCACATGTGCGTGCGTGCCCAAGATCCCGAGAGGAGAATG